GCAGTGGGCCATCATACATCAGTTAATAGAACCTTAGATCGACTTAGGGTTTTCATGGCCCACGAACTGGGTTTGGTTGACCACGTAAGTTTCTGACCAGTAATATGTATTTGTTGTTTTCTTCTTATTATTATTTTTTCTGAAATTAAGCATTTGCTTCAATTTTGAAATGCAGTCTAGGCATTCAATTTTGTGGGTGACTGATTTCCCAATGTTCGAGTGGAATGATTCAGAGCAGAGACTTGAGGTTTGTGTCATGCTCTTATTATGTCTTTGGTGATTTTGGCATTTTTGTGTTACATACACCCTTTGTACATCTTACTATTAATTCCTATGCTAGTTTGCTATTGTTGTATCAATGCGTGATTTTGTCTTTTTTGAGGAATTAACATAATAGCTGCATTCTTATAAAAAAAACAGAATAGCTGCATTTTAAGATTTAGTTTTCCTTGGTATTGTAAGTTCACTCAGTTGTGTCAAAATATAAGTAGATATAGTTTAACATTTATTTTTCTTTTTCTTTTCACACGTGTTTATGCAAACATAATTTGGTGAAAGCTATTAGTTTGTTAAAGTAATATACATGGAAGGTTTAGATTGTTAAATTTTTTATAATATATGTGATTTATATATATATATATATATATGGAAGTTTAACAGTATTTACTGTTTGCACCTGCCCGTTGAAAATTTACTTTTACTTATATTGTAGCCCTTACATCATCCATTTACTGCACCAAACCCTGAAGACATGGGAGATCTTTCTTCTGCACGTGCCCTAGCTTATGACATGGTTTACAATGGAGTTGAGGTATGTATATGGCGTGCTTTCTAGATTCTTCAAAAGGATAAGATATGGTCGATCAACTCTTATATATGGTAACTGAATGCATCATCGCCTCTTGCTTTTTTAGATTGGTGGAGGAAGTTTAAGAATTTATAAGCGTGAGGTCCAACAGAAAGTATTGGAAACTATTGGCATCTCTCCTGAACAGGTGAGAAGAACCTTAATCTATTCAAGAATTTATAAGTCTGTGGATACCGTTTGCACCATGTAACTCTGTAAGTCTCGTGTCCCATTAGATATCTTCTTGTTGCATTTATTGTTGCCTTCAAAAAAACTAAGGTAGTGGATGATTCTGTTATCTAATTAGTGTCAATTCGATAGTCTGATCCTATACATACTGGCCTAAAAACATATAAATCAAGAGTGACATACCAAACCAGACTACTTCTAGATCTTAGAAAAGCGAAGATTATACTTTGTTTGAGTTCTCAATTCTTTCTCTGTCCAAATAATGTTGTTTTATGTTATTTACAGGCTGAAGATAAGTTTGGCTATCTTCTGGAAGCTTTAGACATGGGTGCTCCTCCACATGGTATGACATGCTTAGGCCACAAAACAAACCTTTTTTCTATCTGGAATAAGAGTTCACTTGTTATTTATCTTTATTTTTGCAGGGGGGGTCGCGTATGGTTTGGATCGATTGGTTATGTTGTTAGCAGATGCAAATTCTATCAGAGATGTCATTGCTTTTCCGAAGACAACCACCGCTCAGTGTGCCCTCACTCGAGCACCGTCAAAAGTGGACGTCCAACAGTTGAAAGATCTCTCGCTGAAAACCCAATAGTTTCTTCTTAATTTGCCTGTCCCGATATGAAAACCTAGGCTGGCCATTAGTCATTTCTAGTAGTCATCATTGGTTGATCATAATTCATAAAGCTTTTCTTTCCTTGTAAAGCAAAATAGTTGCAATACATGTTTCAGTTTTGTTTTGAGACATTAGAGCTTTATTTGTGGAACTTGACCTAATCTGTCACATACTTGTTCCATCGCCAATGAATTTATGTTGTCTGATATGCATTTTAGAGTTTTACTTTATTTCTTTTTGTTATACCCACACAAAATAGTTCAAAGTTCATATATGATTCAAGAAGCTCATAGATCTCCAGCTCCAGCTCCAGCTCCGATGAAGCATAATATCCACCAGATCTCCGGCTCTTTAGCCTCAAAACCTACATAATATTTAACCTATAATAGAATGCAAAACTGAGTCGACTAACCACCAAGCTTTTAAAAAATACTGGACGCCTCGTCTCGTCTCGACTATTGCTACTGCATCAACCATCTCGTTACCTTTACAAAAAGCATAAACAACAACCGCTATGACATCAATCAATAGCATCAAAAATTTTTAACATCATCCAATATTTTGCATTTATTTTCTGGTCCATAACGCCACCTTGCCTTCATATGTGAGTCGTGTTCATAAAATATCAGAATTCTAAATCACCTCAACCATCGGCTCCATTGCTTCCTTGATAACCTTTACCTCTATCTCCTGCTACTGATAGGAATTCATTAGTAAGTAATTCCAAACGCTGAAACCAAGCACCATTCGTCGTTAATCACAAGAGATAGCAATCGCTGTTGTGGATGCAGATCTCGAAGATTTTAGAGACTTTTTGCTATTATCTTCTCCCTTTTTGGAGATATTATTTTTTTTCTTATAAGAAAAAATGGTCAAATTGAAGAAAGGTCCTAAAACTTTTAATACTTTTCAAAATAAATATCTAATTTCAACACCTATTTAATTCAGACCCCAACTCTTCACCAATTCCTTTCAATCAAGTCACCATATTTAATTTAATTAAATCTCATAAACTTTACAATCCTTTTGATTGTGCCCCAAACTTCAAAATTATAATTTTTGGGCAAAATTTCGAGACATTATATACATGAAGGAACAAAGACTAATGAAATACTAGTCAATTTCTCTTGTGGTTTTTGTTGTTTGATGGTTTTAGAGATAGAGAAGAAAATTCAGATCACCAGAAGATTGAGATGAAGAAAGAAACAAACGAAAGTTATTTCCATGCCATCTTCTTTAAACGTTGGACTGGTTTTTTAAAAAAGACTAGTGAAATTAGCATCCTTTGTGATGTTGAAGTTTTCCTTATTGTTTACTTGACTGGAAAAAAATGTTCTCTTTTGATCACCCTAATGTTGATGTTTTTGTTGATCATTACCTCGATTGCAACACACAAGATACTTCAAGAATTTCGTAGTTCGTCAAGATTTACCGTAATGCCAACATCCATGAGCTCAACATGCAGCTTACTCAGGTTTCATTTATATTTGGCTATGATGAAGCTTATCCCATTATATTTGGCTACCTAGTTTAGTGGATGGGAATGTCATAGTTTCACAACACCTAAAAACAACATACATGTCATATAATATTATATGTCGAGTTTAAATTTATTATAGAATAAATTAATTAATTGACAAATCTAATCCGGAGTCTATATATGGAACGTTAATTTATGTGTAAATTTTTTTATCTTTCATATAAAAATATTATCTAATGATTAAAATCCTTCGATTTTAAAAAGAAATATCATTTCTTTCTTCATCTCTACATTCTCTAAATGTTAGGTTGGTCTTTTTAAAAAGATGGTAAATTTAATACCCTTTGAAGTACTGAATGAGGGTTGAGGGTCAGCATGAGTTTGCTCAGTTACTTCCATATATCTTTATAAATAAATAACTAAAGCAAAACAAAATCCAAGAAATAACTTAAACACAGTAAATTAAGACGGGCTCAAAGGGTTAAAAAACCCCACTCTCATGTGGCATTTCGTTCGTTGGAATGTTTATGAGGGAATTAGAATCTGTGAAAGAATTGGAATTTGTCGAGAATTGAAATCTAATTTCATATTCTGTTTGATTGGCAGGAAATGGAATTAGAATCTAATTCCATTCTGTTTGGTTCGCAGACATGTCAGATGAATTTGAATTCAATAATATAAAATGACATAATTGCCCTTCTTGTTTTTTTTGCTTTATTTTAGTTTGTTTTACAACTTACATGTAGTAATATATTATAAAAAATTAAAAATATTAAATTTTTATTTTATTGATTGATTATTCATTTCAATAAATTATAAAAATCATGCTAATAAAAATCATAAGTTAAAATCATCGCAATCAAAATATGTTAATAAGTTACCAAAAGATAGAGCAATATTTCGATACATTCCAATCGGAGTATGTTAATTAGTTACCAAAAAATATACCAAAAACTATTTTTATTCAGTATATGAATTAGAAACCCGACCCAACATAAAATAAAAAAAAAATTTATTCAATAAAAATATTGACTTAATTGAAAAAAATTATATATAAGGGTATTATTGTAATTATTCCTAAATATATAAGGTAAAATTATATATTTTTTTTGGGCCGGTCTGGTTTTTTCCACCCTAAACCCGAACCTGACCCGACCCGAACAAAATAAAGTTTCACCCGACCCGATCCGAATATATGAATTAGAAATCCGACCGACCCGACCCAAAATAATAAAAAATTATTTTTATTCAATAAAAACAGTGACTTAATTGAAAATATATATATATAGGGGTATTATTGTAATTATTCCTAAATATATATGGTAAAATTATATATATTTTCGGGTCGGGTAATTGTCACCCTAAACCCGAACTCGACCCGAATATCACACTTAAAAAACCGACCCGACCCGACCAAAATAAAATTTTACCCGACCCGAATATATGAATTAGACACCTGACCTGAAATAATAAAAAATATTTTTATTCAATATATGAATAAGTTACCAAAAGATTGATGAGGGTAGTATGATCAAATTTTAATTCCCTCCAAAAGGGAATTGAATTCCATCCATTTTTGGATGAAATTCACTTTCTCTCATTTAATGGAAAGTTGAAGCCATGAGAGATTTCAATTCCCTTGAAAAACTTGAACAAAACATGAAAAAATGATGAAATTGGATTCTAATTTCCCCAATCTCAAAAAGATTTCATCCAATCAAACGTCACCTTAGTGTCTATATAAATGCATCATGACCAATTACTTCTCTCATTCCAAAACATACCCATCGCTGACCCTGTAGTGGTTTTTCTTGTTTTCTACAGGTTTAAACATAGAGAGAAAAAACTTAGGACGCCAAAAGATTAAGATGACAAACGAAAGCAATCTTCAAGTCACCTTTTCAAAGCGGCGAACTGGTCTGTTCAAGAAGGCCAGTGAAATTATCACCCTCTGTGGTGTTGAGCTCGCCCTTGTTGTCTTCTCGCCGGGTAACAAGGCCTTCTCTTTTGGCGTCCCTAGCGTTGACACTGTTATTGATCGTTATCTTGGTCGCAACCCACCGGAAACTTCAATAACTTCACAGATCGTCGAGGCTTGCCGTGAGTCTAATGTCCATCGACTCAACATGGAGCTTACTCAGGTTTGGTTATATCTTTCATTTTTTGCTTTGTTTTATTGAATAAAATTATGTATATTGTTCACGAGTCATTAGTATAAGGTGATGGGCCAATTAGAATCTCAAAAAAAAAAACGTGGTGAAGAGCTTCACCAAATGGAGAAAGCAAACCAACGACAACATTGGTTTTCAGTCACCAGTCGAGGAATTTTATCTCTCTCATCTCCTGCAACTCAAATCTGCCATGGATGGGTTGAAAAGGAATGTGCAAACGCAGAAGGTAGCTATTCTGAATGCAAATCCCCAGCAGTTTTACTTAGGTAGTTCAAGCCAAAGGCTGCAAATTCATGATTACAACAATAGTATGATGGATGGGGGATACCTTGTTCTTCCACCATCGAGATATAATCTCAATCGTTTTACAAGGATACAATGTCAATCCTTTGGAAGTATACAATATTAATCCTGCAAACAGATATAATACAAACAGCTCCCAAGAAATTAATATTTTTGGTCATGGATTTTGAAGGAGGATTCAATATTAACCCTCAATAACGTGATGTTCTTGATCCTCTTGGGTTTGGTCATCAAGGATTCGATATTTAATTATAACTTAAAATTATATAAAATTTTATTATTATGATTATGAGTTTTTACGTATTCAATTGGAGCTTGAAGGATGTTATAATGAACGTGAATTCTTAGTAAAACTAAACGCTTCAAAAGCATACGAATAATTATGTTATAAATACGGCTAAAAATAAATACTTCAAGAATATGAAAAAAGTAAAACGAGAAGAACGTTTATTTAGAGAGACAAGGGCATCAGAATATCGTCTAAAATGATATTTTTAAATAAATAATTTTAGAGATAAAATTAGAACAAAATGGGGTTTCGCATAGCGTAGGCTGGCCCATTAATCTTCTTAACTTTGGATCCTGAGGAAAACTCATCTTGAAATGATGCTAAATTTTGAAGGCCGGTGTCATCGTTTTGTGAGTTGGTCAATGGCGTGCTGAAATCCCATTGAAGCACAACACATAGTTTTGTTGGAATACCAATCACAAGTTGCATCATTAAAGTCACAGTTCCAATTTGATGTGAATGTTGATTGATGTGTCAAAGAACGAAACGTGCTCACATTTATATTTCAATAGTCGCCGATGAGACTTTCAAATTATAGTATGATCCACAATATTGAGATATGAAGTTAAATATTTATCATATACTAGTTTTTCTAAGGCTGTTAATTCGGTTAAAATCGAATTGAATTAATCATAATTGAATTATTATTTTTTAACAGTTAATCGAATCGATTTTTTTTCAAAAATATTAATCGAACCGAATAAATTTTGGTTAATTCGGTTAATTTTTAAATTAAGCACAAATTTTTAAAATTTTCTAATTTATATAAAAATTAAATATTTTTTAATTCAAAAAAAGTTTATAATTAATTTAAATAATATATAATTATAAAATAAAAATTTCGGATAAAATTTTTAATTAATTAATATTGATTTAGATTTTAAAGTTATTGGATCTTAAATTATTAATTGGATTTTAAATGGTTTGGGCTGAGCCCATATGCTATATATAATATATTTAACACTTTTTAATTAAAAACAGTTTACAATTAATTTAAATAATATATAATTATAAAATAAAAATTTTATATAATTTTTTTAATTGATTAATATTGATTTAGGTTTAAAAGTTATTGAATCTTAAATTATTAATTGAGTTTTAAATGGTTTAAGTTGAGCTTATATGTTATATTTAATACATTTAAAATTTAAAATTTAATTTCGGTTAATTCGGTTAATTAACCGATTTCGAACCGAATTAACCGTTAACTAAATTCTAAAAATTTTATTAACTGTTAACCGACCGAACTAATTCGATAACCAAACTAATTCGATTCGATCGGTTAACTAAATTAGTTGGATTATTTGAACACCCCTAAGTTTTTCCACATGTCTGTTATATTTTATTTTTTTTATTAATTACTTTTAGTTTACATAAATACTATTATAATCACGATTTTATTTATTGTTTTAACGAGATGAATAACCCAAAACAATTAATTTTAACTTTTCTCTTACTAATATTAATTAATTCTAATTATTACACATTTGAATTATGTAAATTATAATTATACTCGTAACACGTCTAACTAAATGCGTACATGTTTGAATGGTTATCCATGCAAATGTGGTCCTCAATCCTCATATCAAGACATAGAAGGGGGTTGGAGAAAGGGTGGATCCCATGCCACCTGAGTGTCCAAGCCGTATCCAACCAATGCTGTGAGTGGTAACAGCTGTGAACCAATGTTCGAGTATAGAGCCCGACAACCCACACACCACATTCCCACTTGTCCAACTCAATGGTCCAATCAAACAATCGACCATCTTTTCATTTAGTATAATCATATCTATTTATTTTATTAATCAATTTAAACAAAAGTAAAATTAGATTTTTGTTCTTCTAATTTTTTAGATTAAATGTGTAATAAGTATATATTATTTTAACTTTAATACTTTGTAATATTTAATCATAATTTCGTCTTTTCTAATATCTCATCTCGTTATATCTAATAATATTTAGGGTAAAATATACAAATGATCTCTCGATTATATTATACTATTTTGTTAAGTCATCGATTATCGAAAACTACAAAATAGTCCATCAATAATAGAGAGGTACTTTGTTGAGTCATAAACTATTAAAAGTTATAAAATGGTCACTCAACTATTCATTATGTTTCAAACTCATATTTTTTCGTTTAAAAATCAACAGTCGTTTAAGTTGGACGTTAATATGTTGATTGAGATATGATAGTCGTTTGAGATTATAAGATCAAATTTTATTATATTTTAATCAATATGTTAACGTCTAGCTCAGACGACCGTTAACTTTTTAACGGAAAAAGATAACGTTGGAACATAATAAATAGTCAATTGATTATTTTATAACTTTTAATAGTTGATAGACTCAATAAATTAACTATCTACCGTCGATAGACTATTTTATAATTTTTAATATTAGAGATATTTAAAAAAATAATATCTTATAATTAGAAAATCATTTGTGTCATTTATTTTAATATTTATAACCTATCTTAAATAATAATATTTTTCGCTACGTGGGGGTGAACTAAGAAAGGTAATAAAATTAAAGAAGGAAAAGCAAGAGATTTGAAAACGACAAAGAATTGGTATAGTGTTTAAATGTAAATAATTATCGTCATTGATGATGCCTGGCTGTCGCTGCCGCTGCCGCTGGCAAATGGCATCTTATGTATTTTGTGTACGTGCGCATTGTGCCAGCTCACGTCTTTGTAATCAACCCCCTTGCCGACCCATTATCCTATGTTAGAGAAAATGGTACCATGTGGCCTGTTCTAGATTGGGTTTTTGTGAACTTGGTCTTCGAAACCATCCGCAAGTAGTAATTTGAATTGAAGTGGAATTTCAAATCGCTGTCAAAATTCATTAATTGATTTACTTATATTTAATTTTTCGGCATTCCTCCTCCACTTGTTCTTAAGAGATGTTTCATTCACTTTGTATATAACGATGAGTTGATGGTTGTGATCATCTTTAATGATATATGTATTTTGACTTGAATGAAAAGAAAATTGTAAAGGTATAAGTGAATGAATATATGATCATATGAAATCATCAATAGATTCATCAGCTCATGTTGAATAAATGTAGTATTTTAGACTCGATATAAATTATATGATCGAATTTAAAATGTTATCAAACAAGAAATCATACTAAAAATCAATATCAAATAAAAAATATAAATAATGATCAAATGTATAATTATGTTTTAAGTAAAATCTAAATTCAATTATTAAGGAGAGTGTTATTCTTTCTAAATATGTGTTATTAATAATTAAGAAAGATTTTAAACAGATATTATATTGTAATCACTCAAATTATTAAAAAATTAAAAATACATTTGTGTAATTTATAATTTAATTTAAATAATTTAAATAATTAATACCTATGGAACCAAATTGATTCAAATTATCAAAAGTTCATCTCAGGCTTTTCCCTTTAATTCCTTGTATAAAAAATCAGAGGCAGAAATAATCAGGCGGCGAAATAAGTTAAATTTCAAACATGTTGAACGGATCTATGACAGCCAAGCGTTTGACTGATTGATCTCGAAGGCGTAACAGTAAGGTTGATCACACCATATCCTTCCCTCGTTGCCAGCTGCAACCCAGCTAATATTACAGCCTGTTTCCTCTCTCCCTAAACTTTCCTTTATGCTTACAGATCCCCTCTCTTTCTAAATTTGCCCTTACCCTTTTTATAATGCTTTAGTCGTCGTTCAAAGTCCATTAAGACTCAACACCAAGTATTTCAAAGGCTCGCAGCAGCAGCAGCCTCAAGGTAGTAGTAGAAGAAGAGGAAAAAGATTGTAACTTTGAAGCATAAGAATGGATCCGTGTCCTTTTGTACGGATCCTGATCGGTAATTTGGCCCTGAAGTTTCCGGTTTCAACAAAGCCCTCGCTTTCAAGGATCCATCCCTGGAGTTCTACTTCTCCATGTTACTTCAAGATCAAACTCAAGAACTTCCCTCATCAAGTGGGTTCTCTCCTTGTTATTTGCAACAACAACATCAGCCAGAACCCAGAGAGCTGCAAGGGTTCTTCGCAGAAATCGCTCGCTGCGTGTTTCAGTTTAAGCAAGTCTGAGATGGATAAGATTGTTTTAAAAGGGGGTTCATCGTGTAAGCTTTCTATCGAGGTTTATGCCGATCCTGATGGAAGTACCTGTGGATTGATGTCCGGGAAGTTGTTGGGGAAGATTTCGGTGCCGGTTGATCTACGTGGAGCGGAATCAAGGCCGTCTGTTGTTCATAATGGATGGATTGATATAGGCCAAAATAGAAACAAGAATGGATCATGTCCGCAGTTGTTTTTAACTGTCAGAACCGAACCAGACCCGAGATTTGTGTTCCAGTTTGGTGGTGAACCTGAGTGTAGTCCTCAGGTTTTTCAGGTTCAAGGGAACGTTAAACAGGCAGTTTTCACTTGCAAGTTTGGTTTCAGAAGCTCCAGTGATCGGAACTTGGGATCAAGGTTAGTTTTTCCCCTCGTGATCTCTCTTTGTTTCTCTGATATTTGTCTCTTGTAGAATTTTTTCTAAAGTTTCGTTTTTTATATTTATGCAGATCATCTTTGCCAGAATCAAGCGCTTCAAGAAATTGGCTACCATCTCTGAAAAAAACAGATAAAGAACAATCATCTAAAGAACGGAAAGGATGGTCCATTACAGTACATGATCTCTCAGGCTCTCCGGTAGCAATGGCGTCAATGGTGACCCCATTTGTTCCATCTCCCGGTTCGGACAAGGTGAGCCGTTCGAACCCAGGCGCATGGTTAATTCTCCGTCCAGAATGTGGAACCTGGAAGCCCTGGGGTCGCCTTGAGGCCTGGCGTGAGTCTGGTTTCACTGACGCTCTCGGTTACCGATTCGACCTCTTCCACGACGATATCGCCGCCACAGGCGCAACCAGCATCGTCTCCAGCTCCACCCTCAGCACCAAACTTGGCGGAAAATTCACCATGGACATGACAAATATCATATTAACCCCGTCTATAAGTCCACAAAGCAGCTGTGACTTCGAGTCAGGGTCACGTCCCGGGTCAAGACCAGGATCTGGATCAGGTTCAGATTTCGGGTTCGGCTTATCCCCTTCCCCGCTCAGCTTGTACAGGGGTGGTGGGTTCGTAATGTCATCGACGGTGGAAGGAGTAGGGAACTGCAGTAAACCGGAAGTGGAAGTAGGGGTACAGCACGTGACATGCACGGAGGATGCCGCCGCGTTTGTGGCGTTGGCAGCGGCTATGGATCTGAGCATGGATGCTTGTCGATCCTTCTCGCAGAAGTTGAGGAAAGAACTGAGACAACAAACTCAGAACTTGATCGATTAATGGGGTTTTGTCGTTTCACATTTTGTTTTTTTTTTCCCTTTTGGATTGAGATTCTTTCAACGGATAGAGAGCTAACAGCAATTTTAGAGCTCAATGTAAACCATTAGTTTTTGTACAGTGCGGATTGACAAGGCAGCAACTTTGTGTTTTTTTTCACTTAAATTCCTTTGGGATTTGTGATTTTTTTTCATTGTTTAATTCCATTTTTTTCTTGGATACTTTCTATTTGTTGTTTCAATATATATATGATGCTTTTGTCTGAGAATCCAGTGTTGAAAATGTGGAAGGAAATTATGTAAAAAACTATGAGCCTGTTGTGGCAGTAACCTCATGTATGATACTCTTTTGCGATTGAATTTTGCAGCTAATAAACTGTAAAATCAGTCGGATCTACTTCAACAACTAGCCCAAAAATTTAAATAGCAGTGTATTATTAAAATAATTGATACCTTCAATGATTTAAATTTACACAATCTGAATTTGAATTAGCCTGTAAAATTTTGGATTTATTTTGTGCTGTTCAAAGACGTCTCAGCCAGATTTTGAGTTTGGTCGTTAATGTCCTGGATGGATTCAGCTGTAAGATGAGAAGATGCAGATGATCTCAGAGATTGCTGCCGACAGACAGCACAGAGGGCAAGGCAATTAGTGTGGAAAATTATACATGCAAGTCATCATCGTCCGCAACTTCATTTTCGCAGCCAGACATGGGTGTGTCATGCCATCCTGTCAAGCATTTATGAAGGGATTGAATCAGGAGACATGTTGACAATTTTAACCGCGTATTTCATGTTACAAAAGGAAGCAACCATGAAGATGGATTCTTTGCTTCCGGCCGTTCACAAACAATTAATTCAACCAGCTTTTGCAATTGGTCTCACAAAGGTAGCAGACTAAGGGAATACGGTAATAGCACACAAGATGTCTTCAACTCCAAAAGATTTGATGCAAGCGCTTTGGATCAGTCTCTATAAACATAAGAGCCCTTTCCATGTAGAAACAGTCATCCGAAATCAGATTTCGTGTCTCACCATAAATTAAAAGATCCCCAGAAAACATAAATTAACTAGCAATACAAAACACATACTCATGCTTTGTACTGATGAAGAAAAGTATAACAATCAATTGCTTTCAACTCCCCAATATCATTTTTGCTGATGAATTCGCCCTACTGCTACTCTGCAAGAATTGAAAAAAAATGTAAATTGTCAGAAGTGGGATTTGCACCCACGCCCTCTCATGAAGACCAGAACTTGAGTCTGGCGCCTTGGACCACTCGGCCATCTTGACATTTTGGCCTAACAACCAAATTTTGTTATTAATATAAAAACCAAATAAATATGTAAAACCAAAAAACAAAGGAAAAAACATAGATAAAACGAAGATGAATATAAAACATGTTTATTCTCATAAGATTTGTATAATATGAACATGGCTATTTTTATTTTCCGTCCGAATTGTCAGAAGGCCGAGTGGTCTAATGCGTCAGACTCAAGTTCGTGTCTTCGTGAGAAGGCGTTGGTACAAATCCCGCTTCTGACAAATATCCTACGTTTCTTTTTCCTCAAAATGTTAGTTATACTTTCCTTCAACAGCAGTAAGCAATGTCAGAGAGTAGAAGAAAACTATTGTCATAAAATTGTAGAGATGGCAGTAGTCCAAGCCAATTTCATAACAAAATGCTTTAAAAGCGCTTACCTTTAAAATATGTTGCAGCAACCATTTTTCGAAGAGGATGGACTTCTGCTATTCAAGGATACTAAATTAAAGTTGAAGTTTTAAATTTGTAAACAGGTCATGATTTGAAGTCGGGTTGAAGGAACAGTTGAGTTAACCAACAAATAAAGCCATTTGAAACTCACGATGCTAAATAACCTAAACCACAAAGATTATAAGCATGATAAAAACAACTTAATGTTGGATCAATCAGCTTGCAGAAATATTAATGATTTTCCTTATGTTCTGCTTTGGTTAACTCGCTTTGAAGATAATCCACAGGAATAATGAAAACCACACATAAGGAATCAACTCGAAATGTCTTTGGAAATTTGCAAAAGGAGGGTTAGCTTGAATGATAGGTTGCTGCATGACATCTTGCAACATTCCTTTTTGCTTCCTGCTAAAGCTATTCCTCCAAACATTGCCTCCCTCTTTGTACTTTACCTGTATAATCCCATGCGATATATATATATATATATATATATATGTATGTATGTATCATGCAGCAACCTATCATTCCATATTACAGCCTTGGATCACTAGAGCCATGAATAGCTGTTTTAAGTGCAGGGGCCTTGTCATCAGTCTTCTTATCTCGAATCTCTTTCGAGTTTCACTAGCATCGGTTGTATCCACCGGAGATTGTAACAAAGACTTCTTGGTAATGTGGGCTCCTAATCATGTAAACACTTCATCTAATGGAAGGGAAAGAAGCTTGAAACTTGACCAAGAATCTGGTATGATGGGTACAAGTGAAAACTTTCTTTTTTATTTTTTTGTCAGGGTTCATGTTCTTATTCATCGTAATCAATATAGGATCCGGTTTTGCATCGAACCAGATGTTCTTGTTCGGTCGAATAGACATGCAAATTAAACTAGTACCTGGGAACTCTGCAGGAACAGTATTGGCCTACTATGTAAGCAAAACATTGAACTCTTTTGTTTTCCTCCATTTCTGTGCTTCTGATATTGACCGAATCACTTTGCCATCGCAGTTGGCATCGGATCAGCCTAATCGAGAAGAGATAGATTTCGAATTTCTCGGCAATGTGAGTGGGGAGCCATATATAGTGCAAACAAATATCTATGTCGACGGTTTCGACAACCGTGAGGAGAGGATTTACTTATGGTTTGATCCAACAGAGGACTATCATACATATTCCATACTATGGAACCTTCACCAAATAGTGTAAATCTCCTTTTGATTATACATATTTTTCTACTCTAGTTCATGAAAACATCATGGATGATCTAGATGGTATCATTTTCAATATTCTTTTTTTCAGGTTTATGGTAGATTCAATTCCTATTAGATTATATAGAAACCATGCAGACAAGGGAGTTGCATATCCTGGATGGCAACCAATGAGCATCAAAATCAGCCTATGGAACGGGGAGAGCTGGGCGACACGTGGCGGGTTGGACAAAATCGATTGGTCAAAGGGTCCCTTCATAGCCCCCATTCAAGGATTACAGGATCGATGCCTGTATTTGGAAAGGGAACCCAAGGTTTTGTAGGGCAGATAGCTCAGATAATTGGTGGAATAAACCCAGAATGAGCAGAAGAGATGGTTCAAGTGGGTTAGGAAGTACCACATGGTTTATGACTATTGCCAAGACAATCAAAGATTCCAAAATAGTCTTCCCAAGGAATGCTTCCTTCCCAAGTATTAATACAAAATAAGCAGCAGATGGTTTTTAAAATGATTGTATAATTTTAATTTCTATATAATGTTTTTACATTTCTATCGATCATTCACGCGTTTTTCATAGCTCCTATCATCGTCTTCATGCTGTCATTCATTCTTCTTTTGTTTCAATCTCTTCTTTACTTTTCGTTCGCCCTAAATTCCGCAACCACCCACTTACAACATCACATCACAACTAATCACCACTCATCCAACGATTTTTTCGAACTCTCATCGCAGTTTTGCTCACCGTAGTCATTGCAATATCTCCACCCACCCGTCGTCATCCATCGTCACTTTTCTGCGAATCACATACTAATCTTCTCTCTCACAGTCACCTGACTTACGTTGTCCCTAGCTTCCAGCCTTTCGTTGAAAACTCAGTTTTCAAAATGGAGGAAAAAATTTATTGAGAGGTGTGACAGAATCCGATGATTGTAAGACCTGAAGAAAACTGTAAGGGATCGACGAGGGGTGTGCGGTCGATGTTAACTCCACCAAATGAGGAGATCGAACGGAGATTAACTTTTAACACGTGACAACCGCGTCCGTATCAGTGAAATTTTATTAACAAGAAGCAAACATACATATTATTGCCAAAGCCATTACACTGTACGTATATTACACACACGTATATATATATATATACTTCTTTTGACTCCACGAAGCTCACCTTACATTTCACCGAGTATTCTAAATCTCGTATGTCATTCCGACCCTTAGAAGCCTGGATTGTGGTATCATCATCACTTTCTCACCTTGCCTGAAGTTCCTCCTCAGAAAATTATACATATAATCCACAATTATCTTCTTCATGAACGAAGAATTCGGTTCAGCCATCACTTCAGCTTCTCCTAGGAGGTAAATAACTCCATCGTCCTTTGCTTTCTCAACAAACTGCAGCTCCTCTTCGGCTCCTGCTATCGGTGCGGATACAATCCGGGTGGATGAGTTTGTCGATCGTGCCACATTGATCGACTGGATGGATGCAGAGGATGTACGAGATTGATTGATCTGGTTTAGCGTTTCCTCAACAAAAACAGCCCTTTTGCTGCTTCCTTTCTCTTTTCCTTGATTTACGATAAGAGCAGTAGTTTGTTCAACCGCCTCTGTCTCACCTTCGGCTATGTAATGTTCATGACGGATGAATTCCTTCAACTTCTCAATCAGTTGTTTCTCGAACACGTCAGGGGTTCCCATCGTATCCTTGTAGCCGTATCTTACAACGCAGCGGAACATTCTATGTTCTCTTGGTTCGATGTGTCGAAAGAGGAACTTCTCCTCCAATGCCACTTTGGTGATCGGAAGATTCTTAATTGAGACAAAGACTAGAACTGAATGGATGGAAGGTATGCTGGAAATGAAATGAGGGAAAATGGGAGGTATGCCTTGAACCAGCTCCGAGTACAAAAGACCAATTCCCGGCACCCGATTTATCTTCGGATCTTCCACCAGTTGTTTAACATGTTCATTAGAAACCTTATTATTCAGCTCGAATTCGTATCGTTTTTGGTGCACGTAGTGCCATGTTCCCATGATTGTCATGAGGACAAGAGATAATGCCAGTGGAAGGTAGCCGCCTTGAACGAATTTATACAAGACGGACGAGAGATATACAGACTCGACGGCACCGAAGAACACAACGAAGAGGAGAATCCACAATATGTTCGTCTTCCATATCACTAGCATGATAAGGGTAACCATGCCTGTTGTGATCAACATCACAGCCACAACAGCAATTCCTATATACACAAAGAGTAACGAAGTTAGTTTCTCTGGTATCCAAGACTAAACAGAGTACTTGAAAATTACCATAAGCGTGGCCGATCTTTTCAGTCGTTCTGAATGCAACGGTGACGATAACGCAGGCAATCATGAGCATGTAGTTGATGTCCGGTATATAAACCTGACCCTCGTACTTAGCCGAGGTGTGCACCACCTTAACTCTGGGAAAACAACCCAGAGTTAAGGACTGAGAGATAATTGAAAATGCTCCGGAAATCATAGCTTGGCTAGCAATAATGGAAGCAGCAACAGCTACAACAAATGTTGGCCAATACAATGGATCTACATATCCAAAATAAGTTACAATTCATCAGAAAAAAAGTTTCAGAAACAGGAGTACTTTAGATTCTAGTTCTTTAACAGAAATTCTTTACCTGGAATAGATTTGTAGAAAGTATCGCCGACGTTTTCCGGGTGTTGGGTTAGGTAGGCTGCTTGGCCACTATATGCAATGAGTAAAGAAGGCAAGGTAATGGTGGAGAAACTAATCTGCAGTTCCATGTATATAGTTAAACAGATTCGAAGACTAGATAAAAAAATGAAAGCAATTTGCTTTACGAAGTAAACTTACTTGAACTGCTCGAACATTGAAGTGACCCAGATCAGCAAACATAGCTTCCGTCCCTATTTGAAATGTTCAAACAATTTAGTCATAAAGGAGAAGTGTGAAAACAACATATATAGCTATGGAACTCACCTGTAATGCAAAGAACTACTCCACCAAGAGATACCCACCCGTCCTTGCCGCTTCTTCTGAAGTAATCCACAATATATAATGGATTAAACGCGCGGAGTACACCCCAACCATACGTGAAGAGGTTGTATAAACCGATGCCATGATAAAGGAAAACCACAGGCATACGATCGGAGCAAATGAATATCCCACTTTGTCAGTTCCAAATCGTTGAACACAGAATAGGATGATCAGAATCGCCACGGAAATTCCCACCACAGCGTCTGAAAATGCAATAAATTCCACGTCAAAATATATAATTTGTATTGAAAGATTTATTGGATTGTAATAATGGTGAAGTTTGTACCTTGTCCTAAGGATTTGATGCCACCAACCGCAGAAAGAACTGTCGAAAAAAAGATATTTAGTCATTTAGGGAAGAGATAATTCATCGTCTTGATCAAATCGATCGTGGTGATAAAATACCAGAGATCGATGGGGTCAAAACCCCGTCTCCTATAACCATCGAAGTGCCGAGGATAGTGATCAAGAAAAGACCGACTTTTGCAAGTGAGCTGTTCTCGATCTTCCCTCTGATTTTATGCGCCCGCTTGAACTGGTTCGATGGAGTGTCCAACCGGTAGTTTGAAAGCTCTCGATCCTCCGGTTGTTGATTCGGGATCAAGCTCATTTTCACGTGTCGGCACATCAAGGAATAGAGCGCAAAGGTTCCACCTTCACCATTGTCATTGGCTCTCAAAACGATGAATGCGTACTTGAAGAAAGGGATGAGAATTATGGAGTAGATGATGAGGGAGAGGACGGCAATAAGGTTGTCTGGGTGGCCAATGCCGTTGGTGAAAGTGCTGGCGTATACATAAAGCGGTGAAGTTCCGATATCTCCGTAGATCACTCCGACCGACTGAAATGCCAAACTCAACGTCGTCGCCCAATTCACCTGAACAAAATTACAACCCCTTTTAACAGAAATGCCAAGGAAAGCAAAGTTTTTAGCTTTTAGGCAATGAAGATAACCTTGGAATGGGTGTGCTTGGCTTCGGCAAAAGAGAGTCTACCGGCCTCCAAATTGAGAGAATCGACACGGCGGAGCTTGGCCCACGAGAACTTTCGATCTTTCAGTCGGTTTTTATCAGCTTCTGCTGTGATCTCTAACTCTTCAGGCGCTTTCTCCAAGTTTTCCGCCATACCTGAGTTCTTGCAATGACCGGAGGAAGGATTGTCCGCATGGCATTTATAGGCATTCAAGTCAAACGCTTTCTCTAATTATTTGTATTTATTATATAAATTAAGTCATCTCCTCTAGTAAAAGACGTCTCTAATTCGATTAATTAAATTATAAAATATGTATATTTTGTTGATAATTAAAAAAATGTAAAATATATAAATTGTTCCTGATTATAAGATATTATTTTGTTAAGTCTTTCAACTAAGTTATAAAGCGATATTCTACTATAGGACGTTGCTTGTTGAGTTTATCTATTATGAAAAGTTACAAAATGGTCACCCCACAATTCCTAATGTTCTAAACTCGTCCTTTTTCTTTAAAAAAATAACGATCATCTGAGTTGGATGTTAACAAAAAAACAAATGATTAAGATATGATAATCGAGTGATCATTTTGTGACTTTTAATAGTTATGGGACTTAACAAAAGCAACATCCTATATAGTCAGAGACTGTTTGCTTACTGCACTCTTAAAAAATTTAACAGATATTATCTTATGATCACGTTAATCTAATTAAAAATAAAATTTAACAGATATTAACTTATGATCACGTTAATCTAATTAAAAATAAAATTAATATTTAAATTTATAAAATGATGGATATAAAATTAATATTTGTGTCTCATTTGAAGGAAACTAAAAATAACTGTAATTATTTGTAAATTAATGGAATCATTAAACATCCTGTTTTGTCCCAATCCAACCCCAAAGGCCAACACCCAAAAAAGTAAACTTGGGAATCGAAAGTTTATTAATTTGAAAATCGATAATGAAACCTATTTAATTTGTTATTATTGGTATTTTAATGTTGATTATACCTCTAACTGCCATTGCTGATCATGACTATTACTCCTATATAAAATTCATACATTATTAAGTTGTCATATGATGAATATTATTGCTTTATTATTTATATTATTCAATAATTAAAAAAACTGCTAAAGTTTACTTTTAGTGCGAAGTTGTCAGCCTAATAAAACAAAACTATATTATAAAGTATTTTAATAAATTTCTGTTAGAATATTTCAAAGCCTTTGTTTGTCATGAATCCTGGTCCTCTTTCTTATGGTGCAACTTTACGGAATGTAAGATTATCAGTGGGAATAAAAGATTATCAGTGGAAATAAAAGATTATCAGTGGGAATAAAAGATTATCAGTTGAAATAAAAGATTACCAGGGAATAGGATTATTGAGAATGTTGTATTTTGTGTTTGGATGGTTTAGCAGGAATGTAAGATTACCGTATTTGGTTAAAGAAATAAATGATTATTGTAATGTATATTTGATCAAATTATCCTTATTATATATTTGTATAATATTACAAATTGTAAAATATTTATATATTTTCTTTAAAAAATTAAATTCATAATATTTATAATTTTTTTTACAAAATTAAAAATATAAAAAAGGTTTAATGAAAGGGTAAAAAAAAATTTTACCCCTGAACTTCATATAAAATTTTAATTATAGATTTTTTTTTTGTAAATCTAAAATAATTTAAGGATAAATTTGTAATTTAACATTCGTAGAATTTTTATTATTCAATGACAGAAGAAGGATATTTTTGAAAAATAATAATAATTTAAGGGTATTTTAGTCCAAAATGTCGATAATGTTACAATACCTAAGGGAAGGGAGATAATGACATTTCTGGTAATATACCCAAAAAAAATCTACTATTGGTAATAAAACATTATCAGGAATGAGATTTCCAGCCAACCAAACATGGGAATGTGAGATTCACATCCTATGAAAATCCCACAATCCTTGAACCAAACATTCTCTTAGGATGGGATTAACATGGGCACAACCTAGGAGGCTCCCCTAAATATGGTCATAATTTTTAGAATAAAATTAAGGGTAAAATACGCCAATGGCCTCCGACTATAGAGTATTATTTCGTTGAGCCTTCTGACTATTAAATGTTACAAAATGATTATTTTGACTAGAAGACATTACTTTGTTGAGTCATCTGACTATTGAAAATTATAAAATGGTCCTCTAACTATTCATATGTTCCAAACTCATCATTTTTCGTTAAAAGTTAACATGACGACTGAATTATGCTAAAATCTTAAACGAGTATCATATCTCAGGTAATATGTTAACGTCCACCTCAGACGACTATAAATTTTTTATTGAAAAAGGACGATGTGGGAACATATGAATACTCAGGTAACCATTTTATAACTTTTAATTGTAAATGGACTCAACAAAGCAATACCATATAGTCAAATGACCATTTTATAACTTTTAATAGTTGAAGAACTTAAAAAAGTAACGCCCTATAATCCGTAAACCATTTGTGTATCTTACCCTAAAATTAAATGAACAAAAATCAATTAGATAACTTGAATAGATAAATGAGACGATCCACGATATTTGAATGTTATATTTATTAAGATGTACATGAAATAAATTATCTTAATGGTTAAAGGAATCGTTAATGTTCCTAAAGGTTAAGGGTTCGAACGCCAGCACCTACAATGATGATTGAACGTTCATTGTTAAATAGTTGAGAGTATTTAAAACATATACTATTTTGTAATCACTTTTAGCTTAATCAAAAAAATATTTATTAAGATGTTAATGATAGTTTATTAATTAAATTAATTTATATTGGCGTAATATATTTTTTTAACAGTTTAATAACGTCGTAAAAGAATTTTATAATAAATTAAAATGTCCAAAGATATAGACAGAATATAATTATAACAATATATATAAGAAGGGTAAACTGCATGAAGACCATTTAATTATGTGGTAGATTCTATTTAGACCATTGATCTATTAATTTTGTTAATTAAGTCACTTATCGTTATCTTTTAATGGGAATATTGATGTGATAATTAAGAAAATTCATATATTTAATCCTTTATATTTATAATTAATCAATTTAGTCTTAATTAAAAAGTTTAATAAATTGAACCCTTATATTTATACAATTAATCAATTTAATCAGCTTTGTTTATAGGTTTTCATCCATAAGCTTCAGCACCTCTTGCTTCAACAATGATTTTTCATGGCACTCTTGTATAACTTTAATATACATTTTGGCAAAACCAACACAAAAAAGATGTCTAACACAAGTGGTTAAACGTCTAACCCCTTTTTTTATCTTTAATAGATACTGACACATGTCATCGAGATAAACATGTTTATTTTGTTGATTTTGTCAAAATTCTCGTTAATTTTTTAATGGCGGAGGACGAAAACAGAAATGAAACATGACATCATGTATAATTTTAGAAAATTACAATTGAATGAAAAATAAAAATGTAAAAATAAATGAATGACTAAATAGATAATTTGCCCATAAATAACCTGTTTAATATCATAATTATTAGAACCTATGAATCCAGTGTTTAAAATACGTACGCACATCAATAATCAACGAGGCCAGCGTCATTGAAATAGACGTGGAATGACAAAATTATTATATCATGATGCAATGTTGCAATAATTACTCGTATATGTTTTATTATATTTCAGTGGCACTACAAAACAAGACACCTGAAATTTAAATATTTAAGTTTTGGTGCAATAATTCTGAGTTTGTTAGGGTTAGTAAAGGTTGAAGTTTTGATGTATTAAATATTTAATTTAAATTTATTATGTATAAATTATAATTTAGATTCTTTTAAAATTTTATTTTAGTTTAAATGTAGTTTGAATATATTTAAAACATTTTTATTATAATCTATTTGAATACATGTTTCTTAAAATGGTGATTATAGTCTAACATGACAATTTTATTGCGTTTTTTTTATTTTTTAAATTTTTTTTATCAAATCGATCCAAACATGGCATAATAATAGCAATTTTAAATTATAAAAAATAGTTGCTTTCATAATTCTAGTGAGGATAAAATAATTATAATTTTTCAAAATTTTATGAAATTATGGTAAAATGAAAAACTAACTAATGTTATCATTATTGTTTCATCACATTTGAGTTAATTTAATAAAAAAAAATTTAAAGTCAAAAGAAACATAATAAAATGATTAAACTAATAAAGTTAAGGGGTCTAAAAGGTTATTCTCCCAAAACAAAATAAAAAACATTTTGTTCACCATCTTGATGGCGAATGGTATTGACTTTATAAATTTATAAATTAAGAATAAAAAGTTAAATGTACGAATCGTAGGAACTTGCTGGTATGCATGTCACTTTAATTCTGGTATAATCATATTTTTGCCCCCTTCATTTGACCAAGTTAACTATTTTGGCTTTAAAATTTTATTGCATGTAAATGCTAAGGTAAAACTAGGGAGTTGTAAGGTTATCTCTTTGTCCTCAAAAGAAATAACAAATTAGTGAATTTGTTAGAAAATCCTTGGTGAGGAGCTAAGGTAATAGACGTAGACTTTGGTTGAGAAAGTCGAACCACTATAAATCGTTGTGCAATTCTCTATCTTTCAATCTCCTTACTCCCTAAACACAAAACCGTTCCGACCCCTCTTTGCAAACCGTTCCGGTTGTCGATTCGAGCTTCCGAAAATCCCAACAAAAAAATTTAATAAATTTAACCCTTATATTTATAAAATTAATCAATTCAATCAGCTTTGTTTATAGTCTCCCTCATGGAATTTGTTTTCATCCATAAGCTTCATCAGCTCTTGCTTCAACAAGATTTTTCGTGGCACTCTTGTATAACTTTAATATATGCGACCTCTACTCGTGAATATTTCCCTTGATTTTGTCTTTAATAGATAATGACACGTGTCATAGAGATAGACATATTTATTATATTTATTTTGCCAAAATCCTCGCTAATTTTTTAAGGATGAATGACTAAAACAGAAATAAAACGCAGCGTCATATATAAATTTAGAAAATTACAGTTGAATGAAAAATAGAAACATAAAAATAAATGAATGACTAAATAGATAATTTACCCATAAATAACCTGTTTAATATCAGAATTATTATAAACTATGAATCCAGTGTTTAAAATTTTTACACA